TCCTCACATGATGCAAGGACAAGGGAGCTCTCTTGGGTCACTTGATCCCACTCATGAGGGTTCCTTCCTCAAAACCTAAACACCTCCCTGAGGTCCCTACTCCTAATACAATCATATCAGAGGTTAGCAATTCAACATGAATTTTGGGTGGGACACTTACTAACATTAACACATACTTTATTGACATTCTGTGTCCCTCTTAGTTCCCCCGCATTTCTGCCTCCTTGGATCACTTCCTACATCCACTACATGCACCCAACACCTTGTCTTAAGTTCTGCTTTCAGGGAAAGCCAATCTAAGGTTCCCTCATCACTGCCTCCAACGTGTCTCCCGAGACACTTGCCCAGGCTCCTCCATGTGGGTGACCACCGCCACCCTAAGTATCTCTAGCACCCAAGCTTCTAGACTGCCTTGCCTCCTTCACCTCCAAGAAACATCTAGACTCAAGAAAATGTAGCCAAAAGGAAAAGATCAGTGCACTTGACTTCATACAACATTTAGAATTCCTTATGTAAAATAAGAACACAATAAACAGGCCTTGGCACCTGGAAGCAGGAGCTGAGGGCCAAAAGGAGCAGAGGAGAGGGAGCTCCCGGCTTCCTTGGGGGAAGAGGTGAGGTTAGAAGGTGGGAAATGAAGGCTTCAGAGCAAATTGGAGGGAGATAAAAGCACTGGTTTTGAATATGTGTTTTTAGTGCCTAAGGGACACCCTGGTGGAGTTTCTAGTAGACACTGGTTATCAGCATTTGGAATTCAGGAAGACATCAGGCTATATGTGATACTCAAAGGCATGATGTGGGTGAGATCACTCAAAGTGAATGCTCAGAGCATAAGAGAAGCTTAAAAATCTATTTTAAGACTTAGCATGGGGGTTTCTGCAGGGTGGGGTTTTAGTGGTAGTAGAATGAAGGAACTTCCTTTTTTTTTTTTTTTGCATAGTGGTTCATTTAATCACCCAGCCATGCCATAAATATTTATTGAGCACACACTAACAGCCAGGTACTGAAGGAACTTCTATTTTAACTTTAGACAATTTTAGTGAAGTATTGCTGACAAATAAAATTGTAAGATATTTAGAATGCACATCATGACAAGTTGATACACATACACATTGTGAAAGAATTCCCCCCAACTGGTTAACACATCCATCACCTCATATATTTATCTTTGTGTGTGAGAGAGAACATTTAAGTTCTACTGAGCAAATTTCAATTATACAGTACAGTGTTGCCAACTGTTGTCACCACGTTTTACATTAGATCCTCAGACTTTTTTCATCTTCTAGCTGAAAGCCTGTACCCTTTTACCAATCTCTCCCTACTGCCCTCACCCCCAGCCCCTTGCCAAAAAGCACTTTTCTGTTTCTATGAGTTTGACTTTTTTTTAATTCACTTTTGATTTGTTGTTTTACACATATTCATCTGCAGTAGTTGAGAGTGAGAGAAGGGAACCAAAGACAGGGCTATGGAGACCTCCTATTGTACCTGCCGGATGCTCCTGCTGGCATCCTCCCAGCTCAGTGGGCAGGTTTGCTCCATCTTCTGGATGTTAACTAGTTGAGGCCTGCCCAGCACCCCAGACATTGCATGCCAGTGAGGTTTGCTCAAGAGAGGCAAAATGGGTTTATTTGTTCTATAGAGTCATCACTTGACAGTTGCCAAGTCAGTTCAGAGGGCTGTTTCAGAGGGCAGTTCCCCAAAATAGGGATCAGCCTGCTCTCCTGATGAAGAGTGACACTTAGAAAACTCCGGCTGAGACGCCAACTTCCCCAAAGGCTCCATCTACCAGAAACTCCCAAAGTTACCAAAGGGAGACCCCACCCATGGTGCTTCTGGGGAGCCAAGGCAGAACACAGAGAAGGAGGAGATTAGGGTCAAAGTGGGAATGAGGGAGACGCAGCCCCCAATCCTGCCACAGTCAACCCTGGTCCAAATATCCCCTCTCTGAGCCCCCGTTTTCTAATATATAAAACGGAAATAATTACACATACTTTTTTTCAGCTTCTTTGAGCAAAATCACACAATATATTTGAAATTTTTTGTAAATTGTTAATGCCCAATGCACTGCCACGAAATTGCTATTACCACTGTTGTCACCAGGAATGGTCTGCTTCCAAGCACAAGGATTCCTCCTTAGAGAGGATGACCCTGAAGGGCACCTATCCATGAATCCAAACTTCAGTCAAATGTAAACCATCTTTGCAATTTTCATCTTTTCCTGAGAAGTACTGTTTCTGCCATTTACTTCATATTTTTCTTTAAACCAGCTATGCCCTTTTTAGTATCATCCTACATAAGTTAAGAGCTTGGTGGGAAGACCTTGCTGCAGAGGAAGCTGGACCAGCCCTGGACTGACACCAGACCTCATTCCCCAGTGAACACCCTGTCTTCTTCCTCAGACCTACCGTAAAACATGCAAAGAAGAAATAAAATAAAATAAAAGTCTGCTTTTCCTAATCTACTCACTGAATAGAGAGACAAGAAAGATGTTTTTCTTTCTTTTAAAGAAAGTATTTTTATTTTATTTTCATTTTTAATGATTTATTTTACATACCCAGCTGGGGCAAAAATAGAAATGGAAGCCCGTGAACTATGGTTGTAAATATTTAAAAGCCACAAATCAAGTGAATGAGCTCCTTAAAATATGCATTCTCTCCTCCAGCCTTAACAAATATATCTTCAAAATGACCTAGAAATATCATTCAGCTTAAAAAGGAAGGAATTCTGATTCATGCTACAACATGGATAAACCTTGAGGGTATTATGCTAAATGAAATAAGTCGGTCACAAAAAGACAGATTCAGTACCATTCCATTTATATGAGGTACCTAGAGCAGTCAGATTCATAGAGACAGAAAGTGGAATGGTGGTTACCAGGGGCTGGGGTGAGAAATTGGGGAGTTATGATTTAATGGGTACAGAGCTTGTTTTTCACAGTAAAAAGTTATGGAGATGGTTGGTGGTAATAGTTGCACAGCATTATGAATATATTTAATACCACTGAGCAGTACACTAAAAACGGTTGAGATTGGTAAATTTTATGTTATGCATATTTGTTGGAAGAAGTCTTTGAGAGGATGTGACCACCAGTTGTCCCTTGGGCTGAACCTGCACAATCAGAGACGCCTCACGCCTTACCCTATCCTTGGGATGCATGCTCTGCCCTCTGTTCCTATACTAGGAGCTGTCTCAAGGACATACCTTGTAAGGTGTCACTGAAACCATCTGGACTAAATTCATGACTGAAGCCAGTTAAAGATCCTTTATAAACTTTGAGGATTTTGGCGGCAGTGTAGAGATCTATTCATCTTGCAGCCACCCATTTACACCTCATATGTAGGTTCTCTGCTTTTTAACCTGCCACCTACAGGTCTGGAGTGGCCCCCTCTTTCTGCAGTCACTCCCTGCCCTCTGTGTACAGGGCCTAGTTTCAGATTTCACCCAGGGAACTCCTGAGGTTGTGAGCCAACAATATTTTATCATAATAAAAAAGAAATAAACAACTACCTAGAAAACCTGACATGAATTTTCAACTCCTCCTCCAATTGTATGCCACAAATGATGGTGTAGAAAAACCAAGCCTCAGCCTCTGGCCCTAGGTCAGTTCCATTTTCCTCCACACCCATGGGTGGCTCTGTGCCACTCTTCAGAGTGCAAAAGGACACCTCAGTTCCAAACAAGATGACAGACTTGATCTCCTTGCTTGTCCCCACTACAACCCTCGAAACAACACAAGAAGCAACCAAAGGAGAACCTTCCAGAAGAAAGATGGTAAGATGAGATGAACCAGCTACAGACCCAGGACAAAAGGATCAGCACGAGGCTGGCTTCTCACACCCCCATCCAACAGATGAAGGCAACCCAGCCATCCCAACATAACAACTGAAGGGGGTCCATGTAGGCTCATTCCTCGCTGGAACGAATAAGTAGTCATTCTAACACCACAAGGCAGACCCCGCCATGGCAAGGGGGCCAATCCAGAGCCCTGCTGAACACAGGCAGCCTGGGCTTCCCTTCCCACCAGGTGGGAAGAGATGCCAGGTGCTGAGTGGCAGTGGCAAAGAGGATCATGCCATAATGAACACCAAGAAATCTCCAAGCCCAGATGGCTTCACTGGAGACTTCTACCAAAATAAAAGAATTAACATGAATTTTGTGCAATTTTTGCAGAAAACAGAAAAAAAGGAGCACTTCTCAATTTTTTTCATGTCCTACCCTTACCTGGTTTTGGTGCCAGGTTGCAATATTGACCTCCAAGCTTCATTCCCCTTTATTGCTGAGTAGAATTCTATGATGTGGATGTACCCCAGTTTGCTAAACAATTTACCCACTGAAGAACTGGTTGTTTTCAGCTTTGGGATATTACAAATGAAACTACTATAGACGTTGATGAACAGTTTTTGTGTCAACATAAGTTTTCATTTCTCTGGGATGATTGCCAAAGAGTGAATTTGCTGGGTCATAAGGAAATTATATGTTTTGTTTTATAAGAAATTGCCAAACTGTTTCCAGATTGGCTGTACCATTTTACATTCCCACCAGAATTGTATGATTGATTCGGTTTCTCCACATCTTCCCCAGTAAGTGGAATGAACGATTAATACATACAACTTGGATGAACTTCACAGAACTTCTATGCCATATAGAAAAGTAAAAGCCAGTCCCAAGAGATTACATTTTGCATGATCCTATTTATATAACACTCTTAAAATGACAAAATTATAGAAACAGAGAATAGATTAGTGGTTGTCAGTAGTTAGAGCTGTGGAGGGGGGTGGGGGGAGAGAGGTTGGCATGGGGAGGAATCTCCAGAAATTATGATGCTGTATATGTGGAATCAAACTCTGTTTCTGAAAAAACCAAACTGAACCAAACCCACAAACCATGCAGGTCTAGTCTTAGTTTAACTGGATTCTCTGCTGCAGGCTTCACGTGTCTGAAATCAAGATGTCAGCCAGGGCTGCTCTTGTTGGAGGCTTGGGGTTCTCTTCCATACTCACTCAGGTTCTTAGCCATTGTTCAACTGTGGACCTCGTTTTCTTGCTAGCTGTCCAATGGAGACTGCTCTCAGCTACTAGATGCCACCAGCAGTAACTTGCCAAATGGCCCCCACAGGCAGTTGCACACAGATGTTTGCTTTCTTCCAGGCCGGCTAGAGCAGGTCCTTCCGATTTCCTCTTCTGCAATCAGGCAGAGAAAAGTCTGCTTTCAGAGGGATCACCTGATGATGCCAGGCCCACCCAGAATAACGTCCCTTTTGCCATACACTGTAACACAATCATGGAGTGATACCACACTCACAGTTTCTATCCACACTCAAAGGAGAGGGGACTTCTAAGGACAGGGGTTATTGTGGTTGTATTAGTCATGGTTCCTCAGAGAAATGGAACCAATAAAAAATATAAAAATATATTTATTATAAGGAGTGGCTCATATGATTATGGAGGCTGACAAATCCAAGACTGGCAGAGTGAGTTGGCAAGCTGCAGACTCAGGAGTGCCAGCGGTGTGGTTCCAGTCCGAAAGCCAACAGGCCTGAGACCCTGGAAGAGCTGATGTTTCAGTCTGGGTCCAAAGGCAGAATAAAAACAACCCAGCTCCAAGGCAGTCAGGCAGGAGGTGTTCCCTCTTACTCACAGGAGGGTCAGCCCTTCAACTGACTGGATGAGGCCCCCCACATTGGGAAGACAATCTGCTTTGCTCAGGCTACTGCTTTGAATGTTCACCTCAACCAGAAACTCTCATAGAAACACTCAGAATAACATTTGTCCAAATATCTGGGCACTGTGTGGCCTGGTTGCGTTGACGCATGAAGTAAACCCACACGCAAAATCAACCAAGCTCATAGATACAGAGAACAGATTTGTGGTTGCCAGACGTGGAGGCTGGGAGTGGGGTGGGTGAAATGCATGAAGATGGTCAACAGGTACAAACTTCCAGTTATAAAAGAAGTCGTGGGGATGTAATGTTCAACACCGTGGCTAAAGTTAGTAATACTGTATTGCATGTTTGAACGTTGCTAATAGAGTAAATTTTAAAAGTTCTTATCTCAAGAAAAAAGTTCTGTAACTACGTACGGTGACAGATGTTAGCTAGACTTATTGTGGTCATTTCATAATATATACAAATATTGAATTGTTATCATTTACTAACCTTAAAAATAAAGCTGTCAGTTATTTTACCAGCAAACTGGGTTTATTCAGGAAGAGCAGAGAACTGCAGTTCTGGACAAGCAAGCTACCGCAAAACCACAAGCATCTCTGGAGAACAAAGAAGGGGAGGCTTTTTTAAGAAGAAAGAGGCAAGGCTGGGGGACTGTTCTAAGCGAAAAAGCCATTGGAGGAAACTTGGAGTCTCATTTGTTGTGGCTGCTCATTGGCTGAGTTCTCACAGCCTCTCATTGGCTGGGCTGTTGCCTGGCTATTCCTGGAGGAATCAGAAGTTCTTCCTTTCTACTGCGGGGTAAAGTAGCCAAATAGTATGGGTTGTAGGATGTCTGTCTCTTCTTCCTTCCAGTGGGGGCTGCAATTGACCAGGAGTGGTAGGACATGGGAGCTTCCTCTGCAGACCTTCCAACTCCATGTCAGAAAGGCTTCCCTTTATCAATGCTCACATGTTGTATACCTGAAACTAATATCTGTCAATTACATTTCAATAAAAAGAAAAAAAAAAGAATTATCACAATGGTCATCTTAGAATTCTGCCTACCACAAGAAGGGAAAAAAGTTACCTTTGGAGAGGGAGCAAATGGAGAAAAGGGAGTGGGTGACTGGTATTTTTTATGCAAACCTTGTTGAGATATCTGATTTATCCTTAGACCTGGGCCATATACTATGCCCTTCCCCATATAGGTTTCCTGGAGCCAAGAGACCATGACCACATGGAGCCTGTGACCCCACCTCTAATTCCGACCATGTTCTCGGACCACTGAATCCCTTGGTCAAATAGCTCCAAGCCTGCATCTCAGTCCTGAGCAGGTCTCTTCCCCAGGCTAGTCTTCTTGTTGGTGTACTGGACACTGCTATATTCCCTAGATCTGAGAATCTAGAACCAGGCTGGCCATTGACAGATGGGCACAGATGGCACTGGAAGAGATGTCTTTTTTATCAAACTTTAAATTTTGAGAGATTTGAAAAATCACATGCAGTTATTAGACATAACACAGAGAGATTCCAGATACTCTTTACCCAGTTTCTCCCAAAGGTAACACCTTAGAAAACTATAGTGCAATATCACAGTCAAGATACTGACATTGGTATATTCCATAGACTTTATTTATTCAGATTTCCCATTTTATTCATATAGATGTATGTGTATATTTAGTTTTATGCAAATTTTTATCACATAAGTTTGGGTATCCACCACCCCAGACAGGATACAGAACAGTTCCTTCACTGTAAAGATCCTAATATAAAAGGATTGTTCTTTTATAACCATGCCAAACTTTAGACTTGTTATATTTAGTTACTACTCAAGGTAAAGGGCCCAGAACATTTTCAAAAGATGCTAATAAACACACCCCTTCCTCCATTCTTTAAAGAGAACTGTACTACTCCACTTCTTGGAGTGGAATTAAATAGAAAAACAGAATGAAACAGTCAAAAAATAAAAAAAGGAAGAGCAAGAAAATAAGGCTGTAACTTCGCCTTACTGTAGGGTCTCCTCATCAGGTTAGTGGGCCACTGCACTCACTGACCCAGAATGATACCGCACAATAAGGTTATGTAGCTTTTTTTAATTGACATGAAATTCACATAACATAAAATTGTTATCTGAACACTTTAAAATGAGCAACTCAGTGGCATGTAGCGTATTCACAATGCTGTGCCATGACCACCTCTATATAGTTCTAAAATGTTTTCATCCCCCAAATGAAAACGCCATACCCACTATGCACCCATTCTCCATTCCATCTCCCCTCAGCTGTGGCAACTCTCAACCAGCTTTTCTGTCTCTCTGGTTTTACCTATTCTGGATATTTCATCTAAAAGGAACCATACTGTATGTGGCCTTTTGTGTCTGGCTTTTCTCACTTAGCAAAACTTATCCATGTTCTGTCCATCCATGTTGTGGCATGTATCACTACTGGATTCCTTTTTGTGGTTGAATAATATCCCATTGTATGTGTTAGGCTGGAGGAAGGAAAAACAAGGACATGCAAACAGAACAGAGAGATACCATAGAAGGAGAACAGACCAGATCCCAAGGTCCGTGCTTATATGGAAAGGGGACAGCTCTTACTGAATTCCATCCTTCTGATGTGCCAACTAAGACCCAGATGTCAGCCTCCGCCCTCTTGGAAGGAAAAAAGTTTCTAGTTGTCTATTATGTCACCTTTAGCCAATCATACCTCTCCATGCCCCCTAGGATAGCTCACCCACTCCTCCCCCTCCTATCCCCCTATAAGGCCCCCACCTCCCTGACCGGGTGTGACTTCCCTGGCCTGTGATAGCCAGACCTGAGAATGTGGGACCCTGCCTCCATTTTGTGTCCGCCATCTTGAATAGCTGTATCCCCTACATGATCCCTGCCTCCATTTTGTGTCTTCCATTTTGAATAACTATGTCCCTCCATTTTGTTTTGTGCCCCCATTTTGAGTTTCCCGCTTAAGCCATGCCCATTCCCACAGAAACCTTGCCCAGCAACCCTCCTCAGCCAATCAGCTAAGGTCACAATAAACCACCCCCCTTGGAAAGCCCCTACCTGTTTTTTGCTACAGTATAAAAGCAAAAAGGGAACTTTGTTCAGGGTCTCAGACTGAGTCCTGTGTTTTGATGGGCCAGTGGGACCCTAGTTCGAACTAACAATAAAGACCTATTTTGCTCTTACATCTCGCGACTGAGGCTGGTGACTGCGGCTCCACACAGGGGACTCGAGGAAACGGGGCACAACAGGAACATCACCCGGGAATTGCACCCAAATAAACTTCCTGGCCCTTTGTTGCCTATCGTTGCCTGCTTATTTTGGCTAGAATTTATCTTACAGTATGCATATCCCATGACCGGTTTATTCATTCATACATTAATGCACATTTGGGTTGTTTCCCCCTTTCAGCCATCGTGAATCATGCTGCCATGAACATGGTGTCCATGTACATTTTTGAGGACTTCTTTTCAATCTTAGGAAAGTGAGAAATACAAATAGAGCACTTTCGAGTTTGGTTCCAGACTACTGCAATAAAGCAAATATTGTCATAAAGCAAGTCAAATGAATGGTTTGGTTTCTCAGTGCATATCAAAGTTATGTTTACACTATACTGTAGTCAAGTAAATATGCCATAGCATTATACCTAAAGAAATAAGGTATTTAACTTAAAAATATTTTATTGCTAATAATTGCTAACCATCATCTATCTTTCAGTGAGTTGTAATCACTGATCACAGATCACCATAACAAATATAATAATGGTGAAAAAGTTTGAAACAAAATGGTATACAGAGACATGAAGTGAGCAAATGCTGTTGGAGAAATGGTGCCAATAGACTTGCTTGATGCAGGGCTGCCACAGACCTTCAATTTGTAAAAAATGCAATATCTGCAATGAAAGGGTATCTTGCCACGACCCTCCTTACTCCAGAATGACTCAGGATACACAGGCCCAAGCAAGAGATTTTATTATCTGAAAGAGAAAATGGCTGCCCCCAGAGAGAGGGAGCAGCAGCTCGGGGGTGAGGAAGCGCGTTTCTAAGGGGTAGGGGTAGGGTGTGTTCTGCATTGGTGATTGGATCTTAAGGGATGGGGGTCTTAGTGCGCCAGAATTTGCCTTCATGCAAGCTCAGTAAAGTGAAGCACAATAAAACAAGGAGCCTGTATATACCTAGGAGTAGATTGCAGGGTCATACAGTCATTTTATGTTTAACTTTCTGAGGAGCCGACAAAATGGATGTTGTTTTAAGCTGTTTGTGGTAAGTTACTGTGCAGAATTAGAAAACAAATACATCTTTGTCTTACCTGATATTTTTCTCAAGTTTATATCCATGACTCCAAATAACATGTTTGGGATAATTTACGCTGCTTCTTTATTTTTCAGAAAAATAGTGACAACCATCCAGTGACTTCCCAATGTAGGTTAAAGATCCTCTTAATTCCCACCACTAACACCAAGTACAGCCATCCCATCCCCACCCTCCAGGATGAGTAGTCTGAATTTTGGTCTGATTATTTTGTGGCACTTACATTAATATAATGTCCATGTAGTTAAACTGTGCTTACTCTTCTTTTTGTTTTCCCTGGAGTTAATGATTTATAATCTAGGCTTTACATTTGCTTCATTTTCTATGTGCTTATGACTGTTTCAAAAGCCAAACACTTTGCTAGTTGTTGAAATAGCCTCTCAAAATCTGTAGACATCATGGGGTATTCTGTCCATTTGAACACGGTAAAGAAGTTTCTCCCAGAGCCTTCTGACCTGCCATACTCTGGACTGGCTGCTTCTTATGCCCAATGCCCAGCTGGCATCCTGGGGTTTCCTTTTGGATCATCCTGAAATTTGCCTCTCTTCCTGTTGGAGCTCTTGTTTCATGTATCACACATATTTTCTTCTTACCTGGCTTGCTCCCTCTTTTATGTTGCAGGATATTCTCCAGCAATTTTTCAAAAAAGGATCCGTGGAGGTAAATCTTTTGAGAACTTGTCTACAAATGTCTTTATTTTACTGCACACTTGGCTTGTAGTTTGGCTGGGTAGAGAATTCTAAACTGAAAATGATTTTCCCCCAGAATTTTCTGCATCCTAGTGTTACTGAGAAAATTGAGATCACTTCCATCTCCATTTCTTTTTCTGTGATCTATCGCTTTTCTCTGGAAGCTTGTAGGATCCCCACTTTGTCTTTAGTACTTTGTGATTTCACAAGACTTGGTGAGTGTTCAGATTCATCCACTGTCCACGTATTTAACATTCAAGTCTTTTCAACCTGGAAAGTTATGTCCTTTAGTTCTGATAATTTTTTTAATATTCCATTGATAATTTGTCTCATTCTCTCTGTCTCCATTTATCTCTTTCTGAAACTTCTATAGTTCAGATAATGAACCTTACTGAGTGGACTTGAATTTTCTTTATCTTTTCTTTATCAGGCATACTTCTCTGTTCTTTTCACACTATTTGCTGAGCAATATCTTCAACTTTATTTTCCAAGATTTACTTTCAAATTTTTCATTCTGTTATTGTGGGTGAAATTGTAACATTTCCAGAACATCTCACCTGGCTTTAGTACATCTGCATATCAACAGGCATTCAGAGGTGGAAAGAAGTATGGCTTTAGTGT